ACAGAAGATTGGCATCTTGCTGAGACCCTCGAGGCAGGTGGAATTGTCATAGAGGTGGCAGCTCTCCTCTGTTTCACATGGGGGGAAAGTAGTTTGACTTCTCCTGCCCCCCAGGGGAGCCAGCCTGGCTCAGTGCCTCTGTGCGGAATGGGGGACCTGAGGAAGGAAGGACCAGAGCCGCTTCCTCTCTTCCTGCAGCCCCTGTGCCCCAAGGAGCTGTGGCACTTTGTTCATCAGTGCTACGGGACGGAGCTGGGCCTGACCAGTGATGACGAGGACTACGTGCCCCCTGATGACGACTTCAACACAATGGGGTGAGCACGGCAGAGGGTGGTGCCGCCCGGAGAAGGGGAATGGTGAGGGCCTCTCTGGGAACGTGGCTCCGAGGAAGGCCCCAAGGAAGCAAGGGAGAGAGCTGGGGTCCGGGGCACCTGCGGAAGAACATTCCAGACAGGGGGAACAGCAAGCAGGCCTGTGTGGCGGCAGAATGAGCAAGGGGACCGGTTGGAGATGACGTCAGGGAGGTCGAGGGCCTTTTGGCCAATATCATGATTGGCTTTTAGTCAGAGTGAGATGGGAAGTTTTTGAATAGATGATTGATGAGGTCTGACTTAACGTTTTAACAGGATCCCTCTGGCCTCTGTTTTGAAAATACACTGAAGGGAGACAAAGGCAGAAGCAGGGAGACCCTTTAAGAGACTATTGAATAATCTAGATCGTTTGGATTTGGATGAGAGATGATGGTTTGGACCAGGAAGGTAGAACTAGAACTGGCAATAAGTGGTTAGTTCCTGAATATATTCTGAAGGATTTGATAATGGATCAGAAAGGAGCCAAAGATGGCTTTAAGGCTTCAAGGTTATCCTTCCATCTGGAAGGACAGAGTTGTTCCAAACTGAGATGGACAATGCTGTAGGCAGAGCAGGTTTTGGGGGAAGATCGGGAGGCAAGCCGAGACTGACTGAGATGCCCGTTAGCCAGTGGAGATGTCAAGTAGGCATTTGAGTACGAGTGTGCAGTTCCTGGGAAGCCTGGGCTAGGGCCATAAACTCAGGAGTTACTAGTGGATAGCCATGAGACTGGCTGAAATCTCCAGGTGACTGGTTGAACATAAAAAGAAATTCAAGGGCTCGGCCTGGGAGCACTTATCAAGAAGCAGCAGCAGCAAAAGAGATCTTGAAAGAACACCCGGTGAGGTAGGAGAACCACTAGGAGATTTTCATATCCTGAGAGCCAAGAGAAGGCAGTTAAGGAGAAGGGAGACCACTGTTCTCACGTGCTGCTGAGAGGTTAAGAAAGGTAGTGGCTGCACACCGACTGCATGCTCAAGATGAGAAAGGTAAGCGGAGGCCTAATGCTAGTGCGCGAAGTGCGGAGGCGTGAAAAGCAGGGGAGGAGCAGTGCGTGCGTAGCGTTTAGCCTGGGCTCAGGTGCGGATTCTGACGTTAAACGGTGGTGTGCTCTAACCTCTGCAAATGCCTGTTTGATTATCTCTGAAATGCACATAATGATTTACTCAGAGCTGTTACGCATCCAGATGAGATGGAAAGTATAAGTCAGATGTTGGTGATGATGACGACTATGAGGATCGTGATTGCTCTCTCGGGGGAGGCCGCAGTGGCATCCCTGAAATGTCTCCAGAAGGGCATCCACCTTCATCTCAAGGAGATTTTTCTCTTAAGTGCACAGCATGATGATGACGACTATGAGGATCGTGATTGCTCTCTCGGGGGAGGCCGCAGTGGCATCCCTGGAATGTCTCCAGAAGGGCATCCACCTTCATCTCAAGGAGATTTTTCTCTTAAGTGCACAGCACAGAGTAGTTTCCTAGTTACCATCCAGAGTTTGGGCAGCACCACCGAGGGAGCACTTGTGTCCAGAGTTCTGACTTAGTTGCTGTTTGAGAAATGAAATGTACGCTCAGAACTCAGATATTTTATTCAGATGGTCAGGATGGGATGGGCATCAATGGGACAAATAGCTTAAGATGAATAATGGTCGTATTTAGGTAGGTACAAAAACAGAGGGGGCCTAGCAAAGGCGAGTTTGGAGCCAGAAATTTTGCATGGGGGGCAGCGAGGGGTGGGATGAGAAGGAAAGGACATTGCATGAGAGCAATGGGGGTGATTTTTTGTTCAAGGATGATTGTATACAAAGCAAAGCAGCAGGAAAGCCCATAGTTTGGGGTGGATAGACATGTCTGAGGTTCTTGGAATGGCTGGTGATCTTGACCACTGAGGCTTCCTGGTGTCTTCTCCCAGCTACTGCGAGGAGATCCCTGTGGAGGAGAACGAAGTGAATGACAGCTCGTCCAAAAGCAGCATAGAGACCAAGCCAGACGCCAGTCCACAGCTGCCCAAAAAATCCATCACCAACAGCACATTGACATCCACAGGCAGCAGCGAAGCCCCAGTCTCGGTATGGGCAGGAAGCCCTTTGCCTCCAGCCTGATCCCGTGGCCCGTGTTTCCTAGCTTAGTGAACTCCACAGGAGCCCAGCCCAGGAGCGGGTAGAGGGGAGGTTGGTCTCATTGTGGTCAGTTCATTCAAGGAAGCATCCTGGAGTGCATGGGTTCTCTATATTCTAGTGTTATAGTCCCAGGATGCAGAGCTGTGTTCCAAGTGCTTAGGGGACACAGTTTGGATTGACTTCTGAGCAAATGAAAGTGATTTCAAGTCCGTTTTGTGAATGTTGCCCTTTGTAGGCTGCTCCAGATCAGCCCCTCTGGTGGACGACTATTCCACATTTTTTGTTTTGTTTTGTTTTTTTGCTACCTTGACCTGAGGTCAAAGTCATGCATGAATGTAGAACTGTGCATTGTTTATTTGCTCATTTGATTAATTTCTGTCGAGTTCCTAGTATATGCACAGGCTTATTTTCCCACTGTGCTAGACTTCGGGGAAGCTATAAAAACGCCTAAGAGGAGATAGAACCTTGATGAAGGAAGAGGGAGAGGGAGGGTTGGGTCCTGCACTGGCAGCTACAAGGATGGGTGGGGTTCCTCAGGAAAGCACTCCCAGAAAAGGGAGCCTTGTCATTCCAGCAGCCTAGGGGTCAGACCATCTGGTCTTAAAATGAAAATATCATTTGTTTGATGCCTAGACTTTATTTTCTGTCTCTGAGGTTATCTTTAGAATATAAAGAATTGTGTCAGTTCCCTTCTAGGGCTAATGGGAGAGTGAATTTTAAAATGCTTATGAAGCCTTTTGCAGGTCCTAGGAAAAAAGGGCACTGCCTAGAGGCAGGCTGACATTGTTTAGCATGGTGGGGGTGTGGCTGCAGGAAAGGAACTGGAACTGGAGGAGCCGACTCTGCCTGTGAGGCGTGGGGCTCGTGGAGCTAGTGGTGCTATTCGAATGGCCAGCACCAGAAGGGCAGTGGCACTGGTTCCTGAGGCAGAGCTGGGAAAAAACCCCAGAGCACGACTCCAGCCCACCTCTTGAGCAGAGTGCTATGTGGGGAATGTGAGGGCTTCCAAGGCCAGGTCCCAAATCTTTCTTTGGAGACTAGATCAGAGCAGGCTGCCCCGGTGGGTGACTCTTCTGTCTCCCCTGCAGTTTGATGGCCTGCCCCTGGAGGAGGAGGTGCTGGAGGGTGACGGGTCCCTGGAGAAGGAGCTCACCATTGACAACATCATAGGGGAGAAGATTGAGATCATCGCACCTGTGACCTCCCCTTCATTGGACTTCAATGACAATGAGGACATCCCCACTGAGCTCAGCGACTCTTCTGACACCCACGATGAAGGTGGGCATTTGAAAATTGCTCCAGAGTGGCCCTTCCCCTCTGCATTTTGAAGGATAAAAGCAGGTCTCTTTGTGGGACTAGAGCCCATCTCTAGGTCCTGGTGGAAGTGTGGGTAACAGTTTTTTTTACAAAAAGCTACTTTTGTTATTATCATCTCTATTAGTCCGTTTCTGTTGCTTATAACAGAAATACCTGAAAGTGAGTAATTTGTAAGGAAACAATATTTACCATGTACAGTTTGGAGGCTGGGAAGCCCAAAGTCCAGGGAACACTTACGGTGAGGCCTTCTTTGGTGGTGACTTTGGTGACACAGGGTATCACATTGCAAGAAAGGCAGAAGCAAGAGAGACTAACCTCCTCACTGGCTCTTGTTGTAAAGCCCTCAGAACCATACCCATGACCACCATTAAACCATCATATGGATTAGTCCATTCACCAGGGCATGGCCCACAATCTAATCACCTCTTCAAGGCCCCACCTTCCAATTACCGTAATAGGACTTCCCACCTTCTTAACACTGTCACAGTGGGGGTTAAGTTTCTAATACCTGGACTTTGGGAGACACAGTTCAGTCCACAGCAGCATCCATCCATTTTTTCAGGCTTTCACTGCAGGATCCTCATCTTTCCCTACTCGTACTTGTCTTTCTTACTCAGCAGGTAATGCTTTGTTCTGCCATCCGGTGTCATCACTAAATGTACCCCTGTTGACGCTGGCTGCCTCGCAGCTCCGTCCCTCACAGACACGCAAGGCAAGGCAGTGTTTATGTGCCACAGGGAAGGTGCCAGTCACTGCTCGATGGAAATGATTGGGTTTTAATAGAAGCTTCCTCAAGATAGCTGCAAAATTCGTTGGTGACTCCAGCGTGGGGTATTTAGGCAAGGCTAGAAGAAAACGTGTTGCTGGGTCGGGGAGACTTTGGAGACTCCCCTGCCCTGTAGTTATTCTGAGTAGATAGCTTCTTATGTCACTCCTGCACAGCGTCAGATTCTAGGACATCTCTCAGGAGCATGCTGCTTCCTATATTCCACAGAGAGAGGACAGATTCTCAGTAGTCATGAAATCGGTTGATTGTTTTCCTCCATTGAATTGGTGAATTGGGTTTTGACTAGTGAGCAGATGCAGACAGTGTTCACTTGTTCATCTCTGGGCTCTCTCTCTGAAAGGTCACCGGTAGTAGTCTTCTAACCTTCGGTTGGCTTGTCCACCCCATCTGGGATTCAGGGCCAGTGCAAATGACTGCATGAGTTGGGGACTGCCTAATAACAGGGTGCCATTCACGTACACTAAGATGTGAATACTCCCAGCACTGCACTTGTACTGGGCCCCATCTGTGTACTCATAGGCACTGACCCTGTAGGACACTCCCAAGTTCTTCCTGGTCTGCTCAGGGTCCCAGGGTGTCAGAAATGTCAGCCTCCTACTTGAGATCACATATCAGCTCATGCAGGGGCAATAATTAGGGACTGTGGAGGTGGCCCAGGGCGGGGAGAAGTGCTGAGGCTTTAGCAATTCACCTGGACCTCAAACACATTACCCTGTAACAGATAGAAAATTCAGAAGACTACAGGGGAACTCCCTGGTGGGCAATATTCTGCAGATTGTCACACATCAATGGTAATGTGGCATCCCTGAGAAAGAGGGAAATGTCACTTTTGAGACCCTCACAGACCTTGCTCTTTGTGCCTCTCACCTTGGCTCATTCTGATTTGTATTCTTTTGCTACAATAAAGCTGTAATCAAACCTTTAAAAGGGGGAGGTATTGAAATCATGGGGGAAATAAACTGCGCTGTAGAAGGAGAGCAGACCTTGTACAGTTAGGGATCACAGCCCATTGGAACAGCCCCAGCCTTAGAAACTTTTCTATAAACAGATTATTCAAGATTAATCAATGTCCCTTGAACACACCTATGCCATGGATTTTAATGCCATTTGTTGTCAATTGTGGATAACTTATAGACTCTTGATGAACCATCCTTCAGATCAGGCATCCTTAGGAAGTAGTGATTTGTTTGAATTTTAGTCTAAGATCAACTTAATTAGGGGGGTTTGAAAGTGTAAAAGCAAATAGTCATCCCAAACTCTTTGCAAGGGATGAATAAACACAGTGCCAGGTACAGGTTGGGTATCCCTTATCCAAAATGCTTGGGACCAGAAGCGTTTCGGATTCAGATTTTTTTTTTTTGGATTTTGGAATAATTGCATCATACTTACCAGCTGAGCATCCCTAATCTGAAAATCCAGAATCAGAAGTACTTCAATGAGCAATTTCATTGAGTGTCACGTTGGTGCTCAAAAAGTTTCAGGTTTTTGAGTATTTTAGGTTTTGGATTATTTCAGATTTTGGATTTTCAGATTTGGGATGGGCAACCTGTATAGTAAACAATATGCATCCCAGCAAAGGAAAGACTGAGCAGAGTTATAAACAGCAAAGCCCACGAGCACAGCTGCCCCACTCCATGTGCCTGCATCAGCCAGAAACATGGTGCTCTGGGGATGTCCTGGGGGTGTCTTGGGGGTGCCCTGCTCCCCACCGTCACTGTTTCTGTCCTCGTCATTTCATCTGTGCAGGGGAGGTGCAGGCCTTCTATGAGGACCTGAATGGCCGGCAGTTCGTGAATGAAGTCTTCAACTTCAGCGTGGACAAGCTCTACGACCTCCTCTTCACCAACTCGCCCTTCCAGCGGGACTTCATGGAGCAGCGGCGCTTCTCAGGTTCCTTCTGCCAGGCTGGTCCCTGCATCCCTCCCTCTCTGTCCACCCATCTCTCTACATTTGCTCCCTTTCCTTTCTTTCCATGCACCCTCCTTCTCCAGGCCACCTGATGGCCCAGACACCTCTTTCTGGCCTTATGTGGTTCTGGAGCTCCCTCGGGGACTGCTGCTCTCTCCTTCCCCCTTGTGCACCAGGCCCCAAAGACTCGTCAGTGAGCAGGACCTGCTCGGTCTCTGCCCTCACTGGGCTTACCATCCAGTAAAGGGCAGCAGCTCCCACTTGCTGGGAGGCCCCCACTCCATGCCAAGCATGTGGCACAATGTCATGTAGTCCTCATGGCTGCTCTTTGTGTGGGCATTGTGACCCCCGGATTGATGAGGAAGTTGAAACTCAGACTATTACCACTTGCCCAAGGTCATGCAGCTAAGAAGGGGCCGAGCTGGGATGCAGATGTAGGACTCTGGGGGTTCATATGTTTCCACTCTGTGCCTCTGTCTCATCCCCTAGCCCCCATTCTTCCCTCTGCAGTCACTAGGCTCTGGCCTAGCAGGGCTGCTACACACCCACTCTGTGAAGAGCATCTGGTCATCATTGGGCCCCAGTGCTGGGAAGAGGATGTGTTGAGGGCACAGGGAGGTCGTGCCTTAGAGGAGGAGACTTGTTCCCAAGGGATCCTAGGCCCTCGCCACAGTAGCTCCAGTGTTGCCCTCATCCCCGTAGGTGGCCCCAGGACCTCCTGCCCCAGCCCCAGGAACAATCAGCGTTATGGAGCCTTGTGTAGAATTTCGGCATTGCTACAATGAGCCTCTTTCTGCTCCAACTCCCCCTCCTCCCACCCTCCTCCCCTGGCCCTCGGGCTCCCATTGGCTTCCTTTTGGGGCCTGTCGATAGTCAGCACAGTCAGGAAAAGTTCACTTGCAGGGGAAGTTTAGATGTGGAGATGGGGAGCTGCTTTCCCTCCCTGATCCCAGGGCTCTTCTCTACCCTCAGATATCATCTTCCATCCGTGGAAAAAGGAAGAGAACGGAAACCAGAGCCGAGTGATTCTCTACACCATCACCCTTACCAACCCTCTGGCTCCCAAAACTGCCACTGTCAGGGAGACACAGGTGAGGGCAGAGAGGCAGAGGCATAGGGGCCGGAGGGTCCTCTGTGCTGCCGCGAAGGATGAAGGACAGATGTTAGGCAGAAAAGTTTCCGGGGGCAGGTGCCCAGCGTGGAAGCAGCAGCATCTTGCGTGTCTGGATGCTTCATGAACAGTGGTTCAGGTCTTCCATCCAGAAGTCGTGCGGTGGGTGGGGGTGGGGGGGGGCGGTGCAGAAGGTGGTTTGCCTGTCCTGCCGCTCCGCCGTTTTGTCCAATGGACCTTTCCTGCCCGCAGACGTTGTACAAGGGGAGCCAGGAGAGTGAGTGTTACGTGATCGACGCCGAAGTCCTCACCCACGACGTGCCGTACCACGACTACTTCTACACCATCAACCGCTACACGCTCACCCGCGTGGCTCGAAACAAGAGTCGACTCAGGTGCGGTGTGCGCAGGGCCCGAGGGGGTGCAGAGGGACCCTAGTGACAGTGCGTTCGTCTGCTCCTGAGGGGAAGCAGGGGTGCGGTGGATTTGCCTGCCGCCTCTTTCTTTATTCTGCCTTCTCTCTGAAGCCTTCTGAGACTCCCCACCTTCCCACTCTGGGCATCTCTTTAGTGAAATTTTATAACTACTGCTATTTATTTTCTGTGGTTTATATAGTACCGTGTAGATGCTTTACCTGTGTTCACAGGAATCTTTAGAATGACCCAAGGAAGTGGATTATTTTCATTTTTCAGATAGGGAGACTGAGGCTCCCATAAGCTAAGTAACTTTGCTGTGTGTCACGTTCCTAGTAAGTGCTGAAATGCAGGTCTTGGGAGCGCAGAGCTCTGCTCCTTCCCCTGCCGTGAGCGTGGAGATTTACTGCCCGTCTCCCTGTTCAACAGTGAGCTCCTGGAGAGCAGGAGTCCCTTTCCATTCTCCACTTTATTCCCAGCACTCAGTACAGGGCCTGCACATGTCAGAGTTCAGAAAACGTTGATTGAGGGCCGGCCCGGTGGCACACTGGATAGTGCGCCGCTTGGGAAGCGCGGCAGCGCTCCTGCCCGAGGGTTCGGATCCCACATACAGACTGGTTCCCTCTCACTGGCTGAGCGAGGCGCGGGAGCAACACCGAGGGTTGCGATCCCGTTGCCGGTCCCCGGTCCGGTGCGGGGGCAACACTGAGGGTTGCGATTCGTTGCCGGACACAGAAAAAGACAAAAAGAAAAAAAAAAAAAAAAAAAAGAAAAAGAAAATGTTGATTGAATGAATAATTAGTTCTGGGCACTGTGATGTGCATTCAAAGGAGGGAAGAAATTGAGACCCTGACATTGTGAGGAGCTTGAGGTCTAGTTGTAAAGTCAAGACAAACATCCATTTGAAAATCATCGGATTGTCTAGCCGTATCTTAGACCAAGTTCTTTGGGTTGTAAGGAGCAGAAATTCACTCATGTAGTGCAGGGTTACACAGAGATCTTTGGGAATCAGGAAGAGCTTAATTCCCGCACCTCGAGAAGGGCCACATCTTCCTCATTCTCTTGTTTTGGGGGAGGCCGGGTGTCTGTGCTGCTCTCTGAGCACATGCTCCTCTCTCAACCTCCCCACTCTGCCTCCTGCCTTCTGTCATTTCTCTCCCTTCTCTCTTCTCCCTCTTGTTCCTCTTGTCCTTTCCCCCGCAGTGTCCTGGTTTCTCAAGTCCAGGTCCTCAGAGGATCTTCCAATTGTGTGTCTTTTCTGTGCAGTCCACACAGAGGTAGCTGGTTGACCCTGGATAGACCTTACAGGGAGGCGCCCACCTTGACCCAGTAGACAGTTGTTGGGGGCGGCGGAGGAGTGAGGGGGCTCCAGGTATAGATGTTCTCCCATCAGGCCTGAGGAGGGGAATGATGCTGGGCCAGCGGCCGCAAACATGGGGGGCATAAGCTGGGAGGATCTATTGACAGATGCAAATGAATCTGAGGAGGAGGCAAAGAGTCGGGTGCAGGAGGAAGCAGCCTGTACTGCAAGAGATAGGACGGCAGGCGATGGGAGGAGAGAGTGTACCTGCAGAGGGGCAAGAGCTGGTGAGGTCTCGGGCGTGGGAAGGAGGAGCCAGGGCAGGCAGCAGAGGATACCCTTAAAGTTGAAAGTGATGACACCTAGAGCCTGACTTGGACTTCAGAGTCTCTGGAGAAGGAGAGAAGGACCCCGATGGAAGGCTGGGTCATCTTGCTTTCTTTCAGTGCAATGTACTCACAGGGGTCTGACTTCAGGCCTGAGCCTTCCCTTGGCTGGCAGGCAGCTCGGCACCCTCTGCAGCCCCCTGGGAGGAGGCAGCGTGGTGTCATGGAAGGACTCTGGGCTTGGAGCCAGAAGCCCTTGCTGTTAGCCATTGGTCTGCTTCAATATTCTAAACCTCAGTTTTCTCATCTATAAAATGGGGATAAATCTACTATTTCCACCAATCTCAGTGGGTGGTCAGGGAGATCTGGTGATATGATAGATGTGAAATGGCATTTTAACTTGTAAAGTGGAGTACAGATGTGAAGCTGCTTTGACTTAAACCTGAATTTTCCTTTTCCCATCATAGAAAGGTCCCCCCCAGGAAATGACTGTTCTTGTTTCTGACTTTTTCCTCAGGGTCTCCACAGAGCTGCGCTATCGAAAACAGCCCTGGGGGTTAGTAAAAACCTTCATCGAGAAGAACTTCTGGAGTGGGCTGGAGGACTACTTCCGCCATTTAGGTGGGTGCTACAGTCGGTGCTGCTGGTTGAGCTGCAGAAACTGGGTGAACTGTATAGCCGTCCCCCACCATTCTAGGAAATGGGAAATATGGAGAATGGGGGGAGAGACTGGAGCAATGAGGTGGTTTCATGGGGTCCCTAAGTCTGCCCCAGAAATGGATACTAAATTTGGCATGTATGTGGACATGTGCATTTTTCAAGAGACTGTATCTATAAGTTTTCTGAGATCATTAAGGGATCTGTAATACTACCCCCTCAAAGAATCACGGATCTATTGATACTGGTGGTAATTCTGTTATAAGAAGGATCTGCAAATCACCTCTGAATGCATCTATCTAAGAAGTGTGGGATTTGCCCCAAAATGTATATATGAGGGTGCAGATGTTTGGGACATATGGCTCTACACGGTGTTGAACAACCCAGAGTAGTGGTTTGGGTGAGGCTAGGTCTCAGAAATACTTCTTAAGGATCATGGGCATCCCTGAAGGTCATCTGCCCACCCGGCCAACTTCCCAGAGTACAGTACGGGAAAAAAGTTCCTGTAGAGAGTTAATTCTGGAGGCCAGTGTGTTGGGTGGAAGATGGCTTCTGATGTGGCCCTCTTGTCTCTGAAAGAGAGTGAGCTGGCCAAAACGGAGAGCACCTACCTGGCTGAGATGCACAGACAGTCTCCTAAAGAGAAGGCCAGCAAGGCGCCGACAGTGCGGAGGAGGAAGCGTCCCCATGCCCACCTGCGGGTGCCTCACCTGGAAGAGGTGATGAGCCCTGTCACCACGCCCACTGATGAAGATGTGGGCCACAGGACCAAGCATGTGGCAGGTGTGTGACAGGTGGGGACAGGTGGTATGGATTGGGGTTTTGGGCTGGAGCTGCGTGCCCAGGCCAAGGCACGCTCGTGCACACAAATTTTGTGCCTTGGGAATAATTTGTATATTTTGAACATAACTTGTTAAATCTGAGGCTCCCAGTGCTGTATCTATTTTTCCCTGCCCTTTAAGTTCCTCAGCCCCTGCTGAACCCATATGTGTACTCAGCTTAACAAAAGCACCTTTGGGTTTATGCCACCATGTTATCCAGTGGCTACCACCACAGGCTCAAGTATGCAGCTTCCAAGTTCTTGGGAAATACACTAAGGAAAAGCTGAGGCCCAGACCCCAGAGATTTCCTCATAACACAGAGTTCAGGGTGTCTAAGGCAGCCCCTCACATAGCCCCCATGGGCCTACTGAGGGCCATCCCAGGCCACAGACTCCCTTCGTGTTTCTTCCTCTCCCCTCCAGCCATCCACAGCCTCACGTCTTTGCTCGGTCATGAAAACCTGGGCTTATAAGGGGCCTTAGAGACTAACTAATCCAGGGTTTCTAAACTGCACATCCCTGCAGGTTCGTCAGAGCTGGATGGGGACAGGGGATGAGGCAGAAGAGGAGGCCAGTGCCAGCCTTCTGCATCCCTCCCCAGCTTCAACCCAAGCACTTGCATGTTATGTGTCTTACATGTGAGATTTACATACATGCTTACATGTCAGACTAACATTGCATTTGAGTGAACTGACTCTCAGTGTGGTGATATTACTTGCCCAACCACATGTAGCTAGTTATGCATAAAGCCTGAGCCAGGAGCTGGCTGTCTCGAATCCCAGCCCAGTGCCACTTACCCTGCCATAGCTAAAGATCACCTGGTTGTGTCATTGTGTCTTAGCTGCATAGCTCTGTTGATTTCCTCATTTGTTCAATGACTGCCTGACCCGGGGCATGACCTTGCCCTCGGGGAGCGTGCCTTCTCCTGTTGGAGGGCTGGGATGTTCATCATATCGTTACCATGGCAGCATCATGGAAAGCTCTTTGGCATTCCCTAAGGGTTGCTGGTTGATCAGTGTCACGTCAGTCACTGGCGGATTGTGGGCCTCGATGGTGACGATGGCCTCTTTATCTTCCCCACAGGTTCCACGCAGACACGGCATATCCCTGAGGACACTCCCAATGGTTTCCACCTGCAGAGTGTGTCCAAGCTGCTGCTGGTTATCAGCTGTGTGTAAGGGACTCAGCTCTCCTCCCAGCCCCCCTGTCTTCCCCTTGCCTTTCCCGCCTGGTGCCTCATGCGCTGTCTCTTGAAGCGAATGAGCACCCTCACTGTTTTCCCTGGGGTCTTTTTGCTTTGCTCTCTAGCCCTCTCTGTCTGGATTGGTTGCTCTGTCTGTCGTTTCTCACCTCTTTGCTTCTTTTTCTCTGTTGTATTCAGCATTTACTGTATGCTAGGCCTTGAGATGCAGGTGCTGCGTGTATTGTCCATGCCTTTCAGGAATGCAGTTCCAAGTGGGAGAGAGAAGGACTGTCAGAATTCCTACACAGCTGGATAAATGCTGACAGAGAGGTGCTGCAGAGCATGTTAGTGGTCTGTTCATTCATTGGTGGTCTGCTCTATGCCAGGCACTAGAGCTGTGCACACACAGGACCCACACTTTGGCAGGGTAGCCAGACAAAACCAATGACTACAGTATAGGAAAAGCAGATGCTTATTTTAATGTAGTTGCTTTATAATAATTGCCATGGCATGAAACAGTAGTCTCAATAACTTGCACAGAAAGATACTGGGCTAGGGAGAAAGGAAGTCGAAAGAAATGGAGACCGAGATGGATGAACACAGCTGCTGTCTGAAGTGTGAGTCCATGCCATTGCCTGCCTAGGACCCTCCTAAGCCAGTTTAAGCAGGAAGCAGCTGGGACAGCTAAGGATAGCTCTTCCGCTTGGTTCAGCCTGCTGCCTGGCATCCCACCTCTCCTTGGCTGGGGGTGTGCTGCCAGAGTGCTGGGGCTGCAGGGGGGTGGGAGGTACAGCAGCTGCCCAAACGGGGGCTCTACCTGCTGCACGCCAGGCACCAGGTCATCTCCAGTTTAGTCTCTCTTCTACGACCTCCCTTCCCAGCCTTCCCTGAGGCATTCTGAGAAAGATAGAGGCAGAGGCACAGCCTTACTCCCAGGAAACTCTGAAGGAAGCCCAGGAGTGACATGGTCAGATTTGCATTTTAAAAAATTTTAAAAAGTCACACACTGGCCAGTTAGCTCAGTTGGTTAGAGTGTGGTGCTGATAACACCAAAGTCCAGGGTTTGATCCCTGTACTGGCCAGCCACCAAAAAATAAAAAAGTAAACGAAAATCACATAGATGACAATATGGCAAATGGATTTGAGAAGAACAGATTGGAGCAGGGAGGTCAGTGAACTGCAGGGGTGTAGGTGAGTGTCTGTCACACTGAGGTGGGGGGCTGGAGCTGAGAGAACCTAGAAGGTAAGGACTCGTTAACCATCTGACTACGTAATGAAGGAAGATGAACAGTGATTCCAGGGACCATGGATGACTGTGTCATTAGCAGGAATCTGGAATCTGGCGAGAAGTTGTCAGCGAAGACACTATCAGCTCCAGGTGTGTCTGAGCTGCTACAGGTTACCCAGGTGGAGGTGACAGATATCTGTTGATGTGGGCCTGGAGCCTGAGAGACAAGTGCAGGCTGCAGTCACTGATTTAATTATCTGTGAATGAGACCATCCCTGGAGAGTATATAGAGTGTGACAAAGAAGACGAGGTCTCGGACGATCCTGGAGGAACGTGAGAGGACTCTCGTACTAACCTTACATGAACACGCGATGTAAAAGTAGATGCAAAATTCTCTATAGCATGAGAAACCAAGACGTTCTTACAAAATTAAAAGCTGAGACCACTATAAAACTGGTACAATTCACATTTAGCCACACCAATTGAACGTGACTCATGCTATTGTTCTGTTAAAACTAAATCTCTGGTATTGGCGTTTGATAAACAGAAAACGATAACCACAGGTTAGTTCTGTATGTAAGCGCTTTCTGCATATTGAATAAGTACAGAGGGTCTGCTCCCCCAAGTAGAGCATACGGCATGGTGTGCACTAACTTCGGGGCTTTGGAGATTTAGGGTAATCAGAGCTTATACTTCCACACTGTGGGATCCAGGCTGAGGGGCTGCCGAGAGTCTGCACGTGGAACAGACTGGTGTGCGCAGCTTGCCCTGCACCAGCAGCTCTTACCACCCTTCACCTGCTGCAGTGACTCAGCCTCCCACCTCTTTCCTCTGTTTAAATCACTGTGGAGCCTTCACTCAGACAGCACATGGGGGTGTCCCTGGACCTTCTCTTAGCGCAGACTGGATTGTAAACAAAAGACCCCACCACAGGCACTAAGATCGTGTGCAGCACGCGCCAAAGAGGTGGGCGTTCTGATGATCTGGGGTGTGCTGATACTGTTAAAGGCGGTATCATCGAAATTCAACACAAAATTTAAAAGGTCCTGGGGCGAACTCAGAGACTCCATGAACACATCTGAGTAACCCCAGGGATTTGCGGCGGCCAGTTAAAGGAAGATTACTTTCTATCATGCGGGAAGCACAGATTAGAGATACAGTGTCACTCACACACACACACATACACACAGTCTAAGGCATAGTGTAAGCTTTTCTTCCTTTGCTGGACTTTTTTCCGTCTATTTGTTTAACTTCCCATTTCTGTCATCTTCTTTTCCTATTGTGTCCATATCTCTTCCTTTAATGATAAGAAGCGCTCCTTGTGGAGGACCTGCTATGTGCCAGGGTGTTTTATGTACATTCCATTTAATCCAGTGCCCCAGGAGGGTAGGTGTTATTGCCCCTATTGAGAAAATTGGGTTTCAGAGAAGCTTGGAAACATGAGCAAAAGTTAAATTTTTAAGTGGCGAGTCAGTATTTATACCCAGTTCTGTGTGTCTCTGGCTCCTGTGTTTACCCATGTCTTCATCTGTCCATCCCATGAGCTTATATTATAAAGTGACCTTTGGGCAGCCTCCAAGGTGAGAGGAGAATTTGTGCAGCCTCTCTGCGTCTCTTCATCTCGCCTGGGTCCTCCAGGCCCTGGATTATCCTTATCTCCTTCCTGTATCCCACCAATTCTGACCTGGATTCTGGAAGAATTCAGCTGGTCCCCGTAACCCCTGCAGACAGTGGCAAATTTGGGGAGGGGACTCTGCAGCTTCAGGGAGGTTCCACTAGCATCTAGAGGGCATGTCAGGGCAGAGCTGGGGACTCCACTGGAATTCCTCCTTCAGTTCCACCCTTCCGTTGTGTCCTGAAGTTGGGTTGGGAGGAGGAATCTTTCCTCGGTCTAGCTCCCATGAAGTACTACGAGTCTGTTTACAGTTGCTGCCTCCTGCTCTGTCCTTGCTGGGTCGCCTCTTCCACTGCGTCTTTGCTTCTAGTCCTCCTTTCTCATAGACGCTCACCTGCCCTCTGGCTCAGGTGAGGTGCATTTTCCCCTCCCCACACCCGTCTGTTTCTAACCTTTGCCTCCTCCCCATTTTTCTCCCTTGCTCCCATTAGGATCTGTTTCAGGTACTGGCTCTACGATTACTCCCTTCACCCCTCATCTCTTCCCCTCCACCTTGCCTCTTTCCCTGCAGTCATCCAGATTCGGGTGACTGTGTGTCTCTCCTTTCCAGAGCCTTCACCCCATGCCTCTCCATGCTCTCCTGTCCCAGCCCCTGCAGATCAGACCGCTTCTCTCTTTCCCCCTCACTGCATCCCTACGGCTCACTCGCTCACTCACTGCAGTGCTCTGGGTGTCCCGGCGGTCAGGGGCAGCAGACTTAGGGGGTGGGGGGTATCCTGGCTCAGGTTGCCTCATTGCTGTGGCTTTTCTCTCTGTGTCTCCATCCTAGTCTGGTGCTGCTGGTCATCCTTAACATGATGCTCTTCTACAAACTCTGGATGCTGGAGTACACTACCCAGACCCTCACTGCCTGGCAGGGTCTGAGGCTCCAGGAGAGGTAAGCGTGCCCTCGCCCCCTCACCTCTCCCTCCACCCCGCCCAGTGCCAAGCTCTGGCTCCTGCCTCCCGGTCTCCTTGGGACCGCCCCGCTGCCCTTGCCCCGTGGATAGCTCTTTGGGATGAGCCCATTGACAAGCTCTGAGAATCTGTCCCTATAGTTTCAGTCCTCTTCTGATTTGGGGCATAGGGGAACTGGGGGCAGTGAGCAGAGGACAAAGCACTCTGATGTGACTCTCTGTCCTTTAGGGGTCTGGGAGCACAGGACAGTCCGCTGAGCATAACTCCAGCTGCTGGGGTGCCCCTTCTTCTGCCCCACAGGTTACCCCAGTCTCAGACAGAATGGGCCCAGCTCTTAGAGTCCCAACAAAAGTACCACGATACTGAGCTCCAAAAATGGAGGGAGATCATCAAATCCTCAGTGATGCTTCTTGACCAGGTGAGGTGCACCACCTTCTCTGCTTCCCCTAGTCTTCCAAGGCCAGTGCTCCCTCCTTAGGCTGTGAGAAAGCTCACGGTCTCCATCACCGCCCTCCGGACTTCCTCCTCCCACCCATTCCTCTCCCAGGTCATCCATTGTTCTAACCTTTATAAAGCTGTGATGGGCTGATAGAAACACAGGTGCATCCCCTAAAATAACAGCAATAGAACAGCGCACAGGATTAGCAATAGGAAGGCGGTAGGTTAGGTGCAAGGAGAACTTGTTATGTTTTTGGTAACCCATAGCCATCTGAGGGTTTTAAACAGAGAACCCCCCTTTTATGGGGGTTTGTCTACCCAGAGGGCACATCTTTTAAATTCCTTTTGATATTCGCCACCCCCTTCCCCTGCCCTTAAAGGCACAGGACCTCCCGCACGCTGCTCCTCCCCAAAGGCACTGCACTGACAGTCTGGGAAGGTGACTGTGTTATGTCTTCATCTCACAGCACCAGCTTTATAGTACAGTTGCCTGCATTCCTCTAAAAAATTAAATGCAGCTATTTAAGAAAAATCATCCCGGGGCAGTCAATAATTAGCTTAGTCTCCTCAGGGGAGGGAACTTCCTCCTTCCCCCGGAATAATTAAATATCTTATAAGGAGCACCCCCATGTGGTTGCCAAGACAGCAGGAACCTACCTGTGCTGTGCAAAAGAATTAGGAAGGTAACAGACCCAGGATTTGTCCTGCCACATTAAAATTTCTGTTCCCAAAGAGGTGTCTTTCTGATGTTTTGTAAAAGGTCAGCCCGACCCGAGATGGAATCTCAACCTTGCCACTAATTTTGTGATCCTGAGCAAAGGACTTAATATTAGTGAACTTCAGTGTCTTCATTTATAAAATAGGAATTGTTATCATAGCCTCATGGAAGTGTGTTCAGGATTCAGTGGCACGTGGGAGGCACTCATCAATGTTAAACTTTATTTCCTCTTCATAGTTTGGTCTTAGCTCCAAATTAAGGAGAGAAGATCTTAATGCAGTAATCAGGATCCAGTTTAATGTGTTTAGAGTATCATGTCTAGCTTTGGAGCCACACTTAAGGACGGCATTTTTTTTTTTTTTTTTTAAAGCAAAAGAGGTCAGCTTAGCGAGGAGTTTGGAAATCCTATTGTATCAAAAAGGTTCGTGGAATCTTGAAGATGTACCCGAGAGAAGGGAACACCAGGGTTTGGGCACAGGGCGGTCTTTAGACATTCAGGCCAACAGGAGAAGAAGGGGGTTAGACTTATTGAAAAGCCCCAGAGGACTGAGCTAGGGCTAGAAGTTACAGGGAATTCAATTTTTCAGTCATCAAATAAAAACAGACTACTATGGTTAGAGCTCTCCAGTAACAGAATGGGCTGCTTGGGAGAACTGAGATTCCAACATTGTAAGTGTTCATTGTAAGCGACTAGATGATGATGGATGAGAACAGTGGGACTGGATGACCCAGAGGTCTCTTCCAGCTCTAGAATTCTGTTCTGGGTGGGCCCTTCAACTTGGGGCTTAGGGATGTCGGATTTATGGCCTGGTGGACTCTACCGTTATAAGTGTTAAGAGAGGTATTTTGTTTTATTCCCTTTAAAAGTAGCTTTTTTTTGGTGCTGGCTGGTTTGGGAATCCAAGCCTGTGACCTTGGTGTTATAAGGCTGCACTCTAACCAGTGAAGTAACTGGCCAGCCTAAAAGAACAGCAGTGGCCCCTCGTCTGTACTGAGCAGAGGATATAGAAGAGCCAGAGAGAAGAATGTGGTAGATCGGGCAGGGAGACCAGAGGTTCTCAAAGTCCATGACCATTTAACCAGGAAATGTTGTGTTGTTGACAGAGCAGCTTCCTCAGAGACAGTATTTATATTTAAACATGTGATATGATGGGCCATTTTAGGATTCTCCCACTGGAATTGCCCCATTTAGACTCCATCCTATGACCTAAAATTGTTATTTCACTGCTATGGGTACCAACTGGGAGCCTACTCGGTTGTCTGCCCTGTGCCCCTGGGTGTATAAGGGAAAGATAAGATACAATTTGGTTCAAATAAACAGGAAACAAAGCAGCTAAGGAAGACTGTAGTCCAGAGCCCTGGTGTGTGGGATCTGAGAGGCCAGGAGGAGAGAGATGATCATGAGCCAGAGAAAGTGGATTTGTTCTGGGCCTTAACAGATGGGTGAGATTGGAATAGTCAAGAGCAAAAAGATTCCCAGGCTGGGGAAACAGCGTGGCCACATGTGCAGAGACAGGCACGCAACATATTCAGAACTGGTGGGGAAACCAAGTCAGATGAGTGCAAGAAGGTCAAGTAAGTGGCCCCTTGTAGCAGCTGAATGCATAAAGGAAGTTCTTGATTCAGTGGTACAAGGGCTAGAGATCACTGAGCCTCACCTGACCGGGGGCACGGGGGCATTCCATTGCTAGACTTGCTGTCCTCTTTCTGCCTGAGACTGTGCCCCCTGAAAAGCCCCCTTGTTCTGGGAGCCCTTTAGCTCCACGGCCTGACCTGCCATAGGTAATTGTGGCAGGTGCTGCTGCATGGAGAAGCCCACTGAGGGCACAAACCCGGGCCTGGGGCGGGCTTCCTTGTCTTACAGATGAAGGACTCACTCATCAACCTTCAGAATGGTATCAGGTCCCGTGACTACACGTCCGAAAGTGAAGAGAAGAGGAACCGCTATCATTGACAAGGCAGGAACAGGGTGGCTGCAAGAGGCCTGTGCAATACATGTACATAGACCATATACATATATATAAATATATATATACAGAATATAAATATATATATATTATATACAGATTTTAAAAAGAGATAATGCCTATGTACCAGGGAGAAGGAGCGGGACCTCCCGCCCCCTGTGCCAGCCAGAGCAGCGTTTTCCTTCGGTGGAGGGGCCGAGGAGGGCAGGGACCACCTCTCAGCACCAACCTCCCCTGATCCTCCTCCTCCCATCCTCTGCTCCCCACCCCTTCCCTTGCTGGCCACTCTTGGCTCTTAGAAGGGAAATGTTGTTGAGCCAAAGTTATGCCTGTGAAGACCCTAGGGTCTTGAAAAGTAGTCTCAAGGGGGCATTGCTTAAGGTGCTTCATTCCTTAACCCCCTTTTGATTTGTTTCCAAAATAAAAGAGAATCTTTTCTTCCCTATGCCACGCTTCCCCAGGCGTTCTCTTGGGAACACAGAAGCATCAAGGTCAGGAGCCCAATCTAGACTCTTCCATAGGGGGCCACCCACTTGATACTGACCAGACGCTAAGCGTCAGGTGGAAAGGACTGTTTGCAAAGTTTGGGGGGCCGCATTTGTGTGGTGGGGCTTTGGAGCTGCAGGCTCCTGAGAACTTGTGTTCTGAAGGGTATTCTCCTCAATTACCCCTGCACCTCCTCTGACCTGTATAGGGGGTGGACCCAATAAGGGCTGGGAATTTCTTACTTTCCCACTCCCTTTCTCTCTGGTCTTCTCCCAGGCTGGATCTGGGTGGAGTGTCACTTTTTAGTGCCTAAAGTCCTATTGTTTCTCTGTGCCCTAAGAGCACATTGTTTATTAGCCAGGGTAGAGCTTTTTTGACCTTGTTAAACCTCTTTTAGTGGTTAAAAGCAAGTCAGGTCTGTGGCTCTAATTCCTTCACTTTGAGCTGTCAAATGGATTTCCAGGATGAATCAGGGTGTCCCTAGGCCCTCCAGGGTTTGAGAGAGAGAATGTCCTAGCAACATATGGATTACAGGGTCTACCCTAGAGCACCATGTGTCTAGTGAACATGAATAGCCAAGGCACGCAGTGGGTTGCCGGCATTATTTAGTCTTGGTAAAGAACCAGTGGTAATGTTGTCATTGGAGACAAGTGTCTGAGACTCTTTGCGTGTGGAAGAACATCTAAGCCATCAGAGGGAAGGATTTGGCAAAAGTGCATGTGTTTGGGCAGGAAAAGGCCAGATGGAATCTCCGCCCCAAAGGAGGCCATTCCAAATCCTGAGTTTCTCAGATCTAGGAGTGGGTTTCGGTGGTAGGGAGTGGGAGCGTGCAAAAACTGTTCCATGGCCTCTGGCCCCAGAGAGGTATAAGATCACTAAGGAGTAGAAGGAAGGCACTGGTTGGAAGAGTGAGCCATCCAGAGCCTTTGGGGGGTTGGTCCCTAGGATCTGTGCATTTGTTTGATTCAGTGGGACCCTTCTGGGTATGTTCCTTATCCTTCATACACTAACCACTCTTTCTCCATACAATGGCCAAAGGAGTCCTGCCAGCCCCTGGCAGAGCTGGTGGAGACTCTTATCAGGAAAGAATCACAGCCACTTTGGCAAGGAGAGCTCTTCAAGCTTGCTCGTTCTTCTCCTGGGCTCCTTGAGGCAAGGGGTGGAAGGAGCCCCAGAGCCCCAGATGTCTCAGAACATCGGCCCAAAGGAAGGAAGATTGTGTTCTTGATCCACCCCGATGAGAAAGTTACATTCTTCTCTTAGAATGACTTGAACGTCCCACTTTGGCAATTAAAGAAAAGTTTTTGACTTTTCAGTTTATATGAGCATGAGGCTTTGGTGTTTCCCTAAGGGCAGGATCAGAAAACAGTGCCCCAGTCATCCCCCAAGGGTGGAGGAGAAGTCTCCCGTGGTCAGCTGGCATTGATGTGCATGCCCTGGAAAAGGAAGCGTGAGGCAATGGAGTTGAATGTAATGCTTGGGAGGGCCGCACATGCCACAGGCCAGTTGGTCACTACTCAGTTCTTGTCCAGGACTTTGAGTGACACACTTGAATGGCCCAGGCTCATGGGCACTGAGCCAAAGAAGGAGGGTGATGCCAACTGCTAGAAACTTCCCCCTTGAAGCAGCCAGAAGCTAAAATTATTCCCAGAAACTTTGAAAGCAAAAATCATAAATTCTCAAATTCATTGCATATAAAATTATTTTCTTAAGTCATTTAATTATTAAAGATGCCATGGTGGGACCTTTGGGATGACTTTAAAAGGATTCTTTGCTGGTAATAAAGTGATAAACGTAGACCTGGCCAAAGAGAGGCCTTCTGCTTTTGCTTTACCTCCTAGGACCATTCAAGGGAGGAGCAGGTGATGGGGAGGTACTTAGTATGTCAGAGGAACTGTCCTGTTTTCTGGTGATTTGAATACAGGAGACAATGTGTACACCTAGGGAATGTTCCCTAAGAATCATGCACCTCTTGTGGGCTAATCATTTTTTGACTGTCTAACCAGGAGAAAACCAGCAGCTCTATTCATTCCCCCACAAAAAATATTTTTCCCCTTAGTCAATAACTTGTGAAAGAGAAGGAACTCCCCCTTGCAGATATGTGTGGGAATGACACAGATAAACAACATCAGAACTCCCGGCTGGTAGCTGTCTGCCAGAGAGCATCAAAACCACCGCTTCTCGTGTCATGTCTTCCAGCCAGGGCTTTTTTGTTGTTGTCTGCTTACATAATAACTCTGGGGTCATGCAGGAGTCTTTCTGCAAGGATACGTGTGGGAAAACATTCAAGAGCTTGCACTAAATTTTAAAGAATTTGCAGTGTCTAACTAGGTGAAGAGTAGGTACAGGGTTGGAACTTTGACTCCAGCTTACTGTGGAGACAAGATTGGCCTCAGAGAAGCCAGTCGTGTGTGCAGCTCTCCCCCTTCCCCATCCACCTCCCTGGGACAGGGGATAGCACCCAGGTCAGCAAGATCAGTGACTTGAAGCTCTCTGTAAGGGCATGGGATGGAGAGTCAGGAGACGTAGGCCAGAGTCCTGACTCTGCTAGTGACTAACTGTGTGGCCTCGGACAAGTCACTGTCCCTCTGTGAGCATCAGTATCCTCCTATAACAGGAGGGGTTTGGGCTATATTATCTCTAGGGTAGGTTCTAGCTTTGGCATGGTCTTGGAGGTTAGGCCAGACGCTGGCCAAGCTGGGCTTTCTCAGACTTGGAAGGTGTCCTGCTAGGAAAGAACAGGCATCCTGGGCTAGAGCTTCCCTGGTCTTTAGAGGTGTGGTAGTGTGGTGTCCGGGTTCCTAGGAAATGCAGGGTAGTTAAACTTTCTTCTTTAGGGGCTGGGAGGGATAGGGAGGCCTAGTGGCAGACAGAGAGAAAGAGCAGACTTGCTGTGTTGCTCAGTATTAACTTAGCACAGTGTTTCCTCCTTCTTTGGCCTAGTCTTAGCTTGGGAAGGGACCTTTCTTTGGACTTCCTCTAAGCTAGAAGGAGGAAGACAATAGCAAGAAGAGCACCATCTCGGATGGGGCTTATCTTCTATCTCTAGGTGCTGTGAAGCCTTTCATTTATCCATCCTTCCTCCTCGTGGCTAGAGGAAACAGTGGAGAGAAGCCATTTCTAGTTCTAGCACTTCCCTTTTGGCTTAACCAAAACCCTGTTGGGCTTTGGCTAAAATCCGTGGGTTGCCTTTGAGCAGTGACACCAAGAACCTGGGATTACAAGGAGTCGGGGGGACCAAGAGACTCAAGAGGAATGCTTTGCTAGAAGTGGCTTCTCTCCATGTCCCTGTTCCCCACCCAAGCTTGGACTGTACTTAATACATTTGCAGGCAGCATCTCTAAGATGAGGTCTTGCAGAAAGGACTAGAGGAAGAATCTTTCTGGACTGTGAGTGGTCCCGGAAGAGTCCTTTCTGTGCCATACCATGCCACTTCTATCTACAGGGCAGCCAAAGCCAGCCCTTCTCCCTGAGGGCCCCCCAGGAGAAATGGCACTCTTCTCCCTTCCCCGGGGGGCAGGGCTGTGGTCTCCCTCCCTATATCCCCAACCCACCTGCCCAATCCAGTAGGAATCTCGAGGACTTCTCTTCCTGATTCTCCCCTCCCCTTCCCCTTGTCTCTAGGCTGTGGGACAATCATCCTTTTACCCCTTGACATCCTTGGCTCTCATCCCTCAGCCTCCAGCAGGCTGGCCCCATTCCCCCTCCTCCTCTATGTTTTCTTCCAGAAGATGCATTTTGGGTCCGAGAGGAGCATTTTTTCTGGGAGGCCACCTTTTAACACCCCTGTTTTCCTGATGTGGAGCAGGAACTTGCACAGGGAGTAGAGAGCTCCCCTGCCCACCTCTCTGCCCAGCCTTGTTACCTCACTCCTGCTCCGGCCATGGCTGTGATGGGCCTAGCCAGCTCCCTGTTTTCATGTTCTGTGCAACAGCTCAGGAGTCTCGTGACTCAAGGTCCTCAGCAGGCCTGGGAGTCCGGATTGGAGCCTTGGCTGCTGGTGAGAAACACTTTGGCTGCCAAGAGGAGCTGATGCCAGATGATCTCCCCAATGTGAAGGCTTAAAGAACAATGTCATCTCTGCCCCTTGGCCCTCGTCGGTTCTCTCAACACAGTCAGACATTGCAAAAGCAGAATGGCTCCAGGCAAGACAGCTGGCTGTCTGGGGAGTTGGCCCTGGGCTTGGGTGCCACGTGCTGGGATTGTAAAGCAACAGCAGCCATTTTGCCAACAGTAGCGTGTGGCTCCCACACTCCCCTACCCTGCACTCTAGGGCCAGACCACTCTCTGCATGGACCAGACCATCTTCCCAAACCCATGGTGCTTTTCCCCCAACACAACCTAGACTCCAAGGTGGGGAGGGATGGATCAGAGGCCATAGTGGCCCCTGGATAATCTTGACATGGGATGGAGTGGGGTGAGGGAGAGGGACCAGCCCCTACACCTGCACTGGGCCATAAATGGGAAAGAACACAGGTTGCTTGCAGTGAGTTGTCTGGCCATCTGTATTTGGATCTGTAACTGTACTTTGCCTGGCGCTGTGCGCAAGGTCTGAAAACTTACTGCTAGTACCTAGAAACATACAAGGCTACCCAGCCAAATCTTAATGTAAAGTAGCTAGAGCCATGGAAGTACAGTGTGAATTAAAAAAAAAGTATTGAATTACAAATAATAACTGGTGTGTGTGTTTATTGCTTAATGCATCAGTGCTCATCATCCCAGATATTCCTGGTCTTCCCAGATATGCCCACAGTAAGTCCTGAAGGTGTGTGTGTGTGTAGGCACACTGCACATGCACAGACATCCACCTTCCACCTTCTCAGGAGGGAGGCAGCCACGTCAGGTGGAATGGATGAGAAGTTTTGGAATCAGACGTGAATACAAACTGCAGCATCACTTTTTGCCAACCATGTGACCATGGGCTCATCCAACACTCCAAACCTCAGTGTTTTACAGACAATGTTAAAAAAATAAACACTCACATGTATTTCTTAGTACGGAGCTGGTATTCTACTAAGGTGATTTTTAATCTCATTAATCAGTACTACTGGTATAAGAGATTGTGGTGGACTGTGGATTCCAGTGACAGTTTCTTGTGGACTTTTCCCTTCTCAGGCCTTGGCACTTGAAGGAAGGTGGACATTGGCAGACAGCTTTGCTTTCTGCCTTATGTTGCCTGAACTGGGAGAGCTGAGAGCCCGTTTGGCCCCTGTCCACATTCAGTCTTCCTTGAGGTTAGCTCCTCACCACCTGGTTAGGAAACTTGTTTGACACCAGGCAAGAACACAAGTGGCTCTTGTATTCCTTCATAATTGGGTGGAGGAGGAAAGGGGAGAGGGGAGGTGAGATCACATATTTAGCATGTGTTTCATTCTAGACTATTGTGTTTTTTATTCTGTGGACAAAGGTCCACTCACTGGGTGCAGGAATTGATGCATGCTGGGGGCAGGTGAAGGTGTATCCATGTAGCAGACACACATGGTAAGGAGAGCAAAACCAGAGCAAGCAGTTTTTAGAGACACTTTATTGACGTGAACAGGGAGTCTCCTGAAAAACACTACATACAGGCATTAGGTTGTCGAGGGCTTGGGTGGTCAGGAACAACATTTCTAGAGTTCAGAAAAAGATTGGCTGTGGGAAATCAAGAAAAAGCAATATGAAGGTGACAGTGTGGAAAAGGTTACATTTGTTGCAAGAGTTTGCTAATTGTGTTCAATGGTGTTTCACAAACCTCCAAGCTCTTGTCCTTCAGCAGCCCCCCACCCCATCACACACCCTGCCCGTCAGATGCAGCGTTTGCCAAGAGGGGCGCAGGGAGTATGGAGACCGTTGTTGGCTCTGAGCTTTAGCCGGCCTGTGATAGAGGCTGAGTCTGTAATTCAGACTTGCTTAGAGAGGCTTATCTACTGGGTCCTACTGTAAACTCAAGTAAGGGGGAAGAAGTGAACTGAACTACACAGGAGCTACCTACCAAGTTAGATTTCAGAGATTAAATAAGCCTCGGATGATGCTATTTTTCAATCCTAAAACTGCGGAGCACACTGAGGGTTTAGCCTAGTGCTGGAACATGGTGACTGAATGAATGGATGACTAGGTTGATGAGACACCAAACACTATTAAGATACATTTGCAGTGGCTAGGTGAATTCACCAAGTTAGGGCTTTTTCATTTACAAAATGAGCTGAGAGGAAGGCTTGTTTTGTTTTGGGGTTTTTTTGTTTTTCATTTGTTCATTTCCATGTTAAACTGGGAGGGGCGAACCAAGATATATTTTGAAATGTCCAGCTCTTGCTACTCCTTCTTCCTGCAAAGATGCAATTACACAGCTTTTCCCCTCTGATTTATGTGATATGCATTCACCGATTCTGAGAAGGGTATATTTTCCTTGTTGATCTAGTAGTTTGGGGGAGACAGGAGGGAGCTACTATCTGTTTTATTGCTCTACACATTTCCCAGCATATTTCAGCTTTGAAAAATTCCTTTCCTAATAAAATTTCTAGTTTAACATCTAACAGAAACCAGAAACTGAGAGAAGAAAGTCTGGGTGTGTGGATGTTTGGGGATGGAGAAACTACAGGATAATGCTATTAAACAGACTGAAAATAAAAGTTGGGGTAGGGACAGGCACTGACTGTCCAAGTGTTCCATGCAGGGGTTGGGGCTTTGATACAGGACTGAGCTGACAGTACAGGTCAATAGGGCAAGGTGCTTTCAGGGCCAACCGATTTGAGCAGTCAAGTTCATGGTGGTAAGAAGGGAAAATCAGACCCAGCCTAGCTAGGCCTTCAGTGAATTGTGTTATTGAGGATCAGTCCTGGGAAATATCCAGCACCAAGATAACAGGTGGGGTTTCTAAAGTGATAATAGCCCTTGAGAACTTTTCTGAGCCCTTTAATAAGCAACAGCATGCCAGATAAAACTTCCAGAGCAATACACATTTAGTCTGGGTCTTTTGTAGGAATATGGAGAAAAACAGAGAGGTGGGCGAAGATTTGAAGTAGGCTGGTGATCACAGTACCTTGTAGATTTATAGTCATGATCAAGTCTCCCAGGAAGGAGTTTAATTGCAATTCAGGAGAAATAATGATGTACAAATCAACTAGAAAGAGAACTGAAATAGGACTCTCAAAGCATATTTCTAGCATCCACCGAGAAGCGAAATGGTAGAGAAGCAGGAGAGTGGGACTGGGAGTGAGAAAAGAGGGTGAACGTCAGGATCAGAGAGGGAGAGATTAGATGGAAGTTAAAATAATAAGGAAAGAAAGGAAGCAGCTGAGATCTAAATGGAAAGACAACTGGGATAGGAGTCAAGACCTGGATCCTCACTTTCTAATAACTAGCTAGGTGACCTTATGATTGAAAAAAAGCACTTCGAGAACCTCAGTTTCTTCATTTGTAACATAAATATTAAAAATATCCACCTCACAGGACCAGATGTGGAGAAGAAATAACATCACTGAAGTGGAAATACTTTGTAAACTGTAAGCTCCAATGAAATTATCAAGTATGAGAGGAGCTGAGAAGGTGGAAAAAGGAAGAGAGTAGAGATGACAACTTGTAAAGGATAAATAAATAATAGGTACCATTCAGCTAAATTAAAAATCACTCAGGAAACATCTGAGTTTGGGTTTTTCACAAGGAAAGAAAAAGAGAACATGGCAGTTGTGCATACAACTTGATCACAAGTGAGGGACACGGCCCACTGGGACACGAGGAAAGTGGGCTGGTGGCAAGTAGCTTGCTAGCCCTGGCAGCGACCAGCCACGTCACGTGGAAAACCCAGCAACAAATCAGACCTATTTCCTAAACTAGAAAGAAAGATGTCCTATATTCTGTTCCCTATTTCAGAGGGATTATGTGGGAAATTACCAATAAGAAGTGTCTTGGATTTATTTATTGCAAATATTTTCTTTAGTAAAATTAAACTCCTTAATAGGTGTTAAGGGTCTTATTTCAAGTACTTCCCCAGGGATGGAACAGATGACAACATGAGCTTGTCAGATGAAGCCCAAAGCCAGTGGACTATGATCTTTCCCTATAAATTCTCCCAGGTCAGAGGGACACCTCTCATCAATTTCCACTTTCATTTTCTTATATCCCGGAAAACATCCTTCCCCTCTTGTCACCAGGTGCTGAAGGGTAACACACTTTGACCAGTCACTTAATTAAAATGAAATATGAGCTATTCACTAAAATTTTTTTCCACTGTTTCTCTGCTCTGTCAAAATCTAGGAAATAAACCCTGACCATTATGGACTGATAGGTGAGGTATTTGGAAACAGTCTTCCTATCCCTGCCTATCATCCATCTCAGGCCAAAACGCATTTTGTTTATTTTAGATATCATTCTCAGATGCAATCTCCTTCTGGGGGACATTTCAGATTCACAAATCTACACCAAGGAAATTCTTCAAGCCTACCTCCTGTCCTTCTCCTCTTTCGGCCAGTTTCTAGTTACCTACATCCATCAGTGTTAAGCTCAGCCGGGCAATCCACCCCAGTCTATGCTTGTGAAAGAGGGATGGCCATCGCCAAGCTCAATGTCAAAGTCTTATCAAAAACAAAATTATCCATCCCGGGAAGTGTAAACTGGGCAGCACCTAAGACTTATCTCTGCTCCAGTTTATCGTCATAAGTCTCTTATTCAGTTGAGCCCTGTGTGAGTCTCAGTTGCCTCCTGTAGAATGAGGAATAATACTGATCCAGAGAAATTTCGAGAGGAAGAACTTAGGAATTTCGGTCCCAATGCTCAGGTGGTGTGCTCTCCAGGGAGGGCACACATACATTATCCCAACAGGATCAGGAGCATGTTGCATGACTTTTAAGAACTTAAATTACCATTGGTCTTTTCCAAGTCTATCCTTGGTTTCTTGGAAAGACTGAGTCCAATCCAGGCTTTACAGACCTATCGGGATCTAGCCCTGGAGCACTAAGCTCCAGAGAGCATTTTAGTCCATGCTTAAGGATCTTTTTATCACTGGAGTACCTAGAGAGGCATGCTTCACTCTGATGCTCTAGCTAAGTGGGCCACAAACTTGGAAAAACTGACTTCAAGGAATCCAAGTTCATGACACTTTTGCTTTCACCTGAACTAATCACTCCAGCTTCCTTCCATTAAGACATTCATTCTCTTGCAGCAATGGAGAATGAACCAGTTCCAGCCAGTTAGGGGCAGAGGGAGGTGCTACCTCCAGCACTTGTACAGAGTCATTTGGGGCACAGGAGAGAAATCCAGTTGGCATGGGAGCCGCTTGCTCAAAAGCTAGGACAGAGTGAGGTTGAGTCCATGTAGAAACGTTGGCTTCTCGGTTCTGGCAAGGTCTTAGGGTGTGGAGAAGTCTGATGAAGTTGGGAGGTTGCTCAGAGGTGGGTGGGTGTATGGATGAGCGAATAGAAGGATGGATTCATGAAGGGATGCGATGGAGTCCCTGGGGCACCCTCCTGAAGCTGTTGACATCACTGAACCTGGGATATCCAGTCCCTCAGTGTTCAGGCCACCTACCAATGATAAAACAACTTCCTGAGAACTTCCAGCCCTGCCCAAAGACTCTGACAAAAGGAGGGAGTGGGAGAATTCCTATGCCATCGTAAACCATGGGCAAGGAGTTCAGGCTGCCCCAACACTCGGACCAAAAAAGCAATTCACCATCTGAAGGCTTGACATCATACCAAGCTTTGTGACTTGGGCATCAACTTAACAAAGTATCCTGAGGATGGGGATCCTGGGCAGGGTACAAATTGATCTAAGGGCTCCAATTTAGTCACTTCATTTGTGGGTGACAAAGTCACTTGTACCATCTGCCATCCATCTCCACCTTCCCTTCCCAAGTCCCCGTACATCACCTCAGGTCACACCACTTCTACTCCTCCACTGGCACCGCAGAGTTCTCTTTGTTCTCTGAGGGGATGGCAAGGTAGTCAGACCTGCCAGAGGACATGGGGGGAAGAGAATCAGTGCTTCCATACCCGGTGATGGGGACACAGGACAGGGGAAGAGCAGGGCACAGGAACAGCATGCCTACAGAACAGCTCTGCATTTCCTTCTGGCTGTGTTTCCCTAGTGAAAACCAGATGGCCCTTTCAGCAGATTAGAACACTGTCCCGCCCCACCCCGGCTCCTAAGTGTATGAATCTCCTCATGTGTCCACATCGTCTTCAGGACTTGGTATTGTTAGATGAAAATGATGGCCAAATGGATGGGTGTGAATTTATATTTTATACTTGCCTTTATTTTCATGTCCCTGATTATTGGTGAAGTTGAGCATCTTTTCATATGTTTACAGGGTGTCTGGTTTTCTACTTCTGTAATTTGTTCATTTGCTTTGCGAGTTTTTCTTCCGAGATATTTATCTTTTTTTCATTGATTTTTCTTTGGTGGTTTCATGTCTTAAAAATTTCTCCCAGTCTGTTGTTTGTTTATAAACTTTGCTATGGATTCTTATAATAAACAATTGATTTTTGCATATAATTTAATCAAAATGATCATTTTTCCTCTGATTTGTGCCTTTTGTATTTCATTTAAGAAATCTTTTCTATTGCAAGATAATAAAGATGTTCTCTTATATTCCCTTAATAGAATTCTCAGCTTTTACTTTTTTTTTTTTTTTTTTTTTTTTTTTTTTT